GGCCTCTGTCGCCACCCCAAATAACAAAGGTAATTTTGTTGTGTAATAGAAAGAAGAAATACCCCAATAAAGAATGAAATTAATACAGAATTAGTACTAATCTCTTGTGTTTAATTTCTTTGCAATTTCTTTGTTTCACCGCATTCACCACACGCGCGAATCACCCGCACCTCTCACCATCACGTAATAACTCTGGGGAGTTCTCGTTGTTGTTACCGCTGTCTGCCATTCCTCCACTCCCCTGAGTTAAACATTTGGTCGCATCGAGCCGAATAGAAGCCTGTTGCCTTGCGTTTGTCGTTACTCCCTTTATTTGCTTGGAGATTACTTGGATTATCTCTCATCATCAACTAACAATAAGGTACGTAAATTCAGATTCTCGTTCAAGTGAGCTACCCACGGTTGTTAGTGTATAAAATAATTGATTTGGTCGACCTTCGCGCGTGTTTTTGCTACTTTAATTCTTTACATCAACATAAATACAGTCCACTTTGTCGCATACAATTGCTTTCGTTACATAGATCACCCAACGTTGCGTCGGTCTAACCCAAATATTTGACTTTGTTGTTGTCACTGCACCATTCGTTTATTTTATTTAGAAATTCTCATGCTTTGGGAGAATTTCCAACAAGCATTTCGCTCTGCTTTGGTAAAATCTAAACACCGACACTCATATTACATAGGAACCTATCGAATGAGTTGCTCCCCTCTCGTTGTTACACACCCTCTCAGTTGAAGTAGAATTTGCCTCTCCACACAGTGATCGATTGTCGTTCTACAGTAACAATACTCCTGCATTAACGACCGCCTATTCGTCGTTTGGTTAATTTGTCATCTTCACTAACCAAACATACTTGCATTTGTTGTAATATACGTCGATCAATTCTCACTTGAGAATTTGCATTGCCAAATATTGCAACAACAATTCTCCCTCATTCCACGCGCCCTTTTTAAGCGTCGGTTTGATTTGTATTTAAAGCACCAACAAATTGTTTTGATCTCCAACTCTCATTGTTGGATCGTTCGTGACGTCGCTTGTTGAGTGGGTGCGTAGGTGCTTACGCATAGCAATTTATCTGCCGGCGTCGCTTGTTCCTCTTTGTGCTATGTCAGTTGTTGGGACGACACAGTGGGGTAAAACAGCATAAATTGAGAATTTTTTATATTGGTTTAAGAAATTATTTTTAGATAATTTTTTGAAAGATTAATAACTGGCAGTAGGGTTTTTGGAATTTTTGGACAGATTCACCCTACATTTGGTATTAACTGCATACCTCTTTATCGGATCATAATAGCGAAAAAATTTATCTCTACTAATTTGTTGTTTGATTAATTATTTAGGACTTCTTTTGATAATTTATACATTTCCGTAGGATTTTGTTATTTTTGAAAGGTACACTCTACTTTCGGCATATATTACAAATTATTAATAACTCACCATAATAATACAAATTTGGAGAAATTATAGAGTTTTGTGGTATTAATAGTAATTTCCATTACTTATTGGCGCAAATTGGTTACTCGTTTTAAACTATTAGACATTTGTGAGCACTCTCACCCCCTGTTTACAAATAGCACCCTACATTTGGCAAGTAACACACCTCACCCAGAAGGAGTTTTTCTTAAATTTCCTACTTTTCAGTGATGGTTTAAATAAACTCTCTTATCGCTTTGTTTATTTTCTTGCATTATTTCACCATAACCGTTAAATTTAAAAAGATTTTCTCTGACAATTCTCATTTCCATTGAGCTGTAATTACATTTCCTAAACCTCCTTCCTATTTCCGCGAATCTAATCAAGGTGCAAAATGTCAATAAGTCCAATTGTTCGCTTTAATCGAGCCGCTGACATGATTCTTAGATGTGTAGGATCCTTTGAGTCTATTAATGAATCCACCTATACTGTCTACAATCTCGAAATTCGTAGTTCAGAGTTTCGGGAAATGTGGAACAAAGTAAAGTGCACATATGATGAGTGCAAATCTTACCTCACGACATCCGAGACTGCACAGCTGGATAATATTAATGTCGTTGAGGATAAATATTATAATTCTGTTATTGCATATAATCGGGGTTTGAATATAATTACTCGGCATCTTGATCGCCTAAAATTCCCAGTTTCTGAAAATCTCCAAGCTGTAGCTCCTCCACTTGCACCAACTCCTCCACATTATTTTAGCCGAATTGTACCTAATGCACCGTTGAATAGTCCTTCGTTTGCGCCACCTTCGAGGCTATTTTCGGACAATTCCGTCCATCCGGTTGCTGTGCAGTCTACTGTTCCAATCGTTAATGCTTCCTCAGAATCTCTCGCCACTAATAGTTGTTTGAATCCTCCCTTCGATAAACATAGTCTTTCTTTGCAACCTATTAATATTGAAGTCTTTGCTGGCGATTTTGTATCTTGGCCCAGGTTTCGGGATCTTTTCACCACACTATTTGTTAATAACTCGCGTCATTCAGATATTGAACGTCTCTGTCATCTTATGCAGAAGACCAACGGTGAAGCTAGGGAAATTGTTTCGAAATTTCCGCTCACCAGCCGTAGTTTCCCTTTAGCGTGGAAAGCATTGTCGGATGCTTATGACAACAAGCGCATTCTTGTGAACAACCACCTAAAGAATTTATTCAATCTCCCCTCTTTAGATAAGGAAAGTGTTGTCGGTCTGAAAACTATCCAACGCGGCATTCATAGTTGCCTAGCTGCAATGACCGTCTTTGACGTCATCACGGATCATTGGGATCTTATTGTCGTGTATATTTGTTTGCAGCGGTTGCCAGAACTAACTTTACGTCTCTGGCAACAAAGTGTTAAAAGCAAGTCGTCTTTGTCTTCTTGGAACAACTTAGAATCTTTCCTAACAGAAAGAATACAAACTCTGCAATGTATTCAGACTATACGTAGAAATCCGCCCACAGAAAAGTTTTTGTCAGATCTTGACACTTCTTCTAACTCGTTGTCTAAGTCTTTGTTGCCAAAAAGCGTTCCTCCTCCAAAATCGTTGATATCCGATCATGTTGATATATCTCGCACCGCTAACAAATTGTTTTTGGCACCACAATCAAAATGTGAGCCGAGACCTCAGTCTAATAATTCAAAGTCGAACACCTCTTGTCCCATCTGTACTAACAAAAGTCATGTACTACGTCTCTGCTCTCGTTTTGTCAAACTTTCGTTTGAGGAAAAATTCTCTATAGTAAAAAAGAATAGTCGTTGCATTAATTGTTTATCTACTGGTCATGCTGTTAAAAATTGTAATAGTTAATTTTGTTGACGTTAGTAAAATTGTCAAATTACCATCTTTGAAATTCCCTCCGGCTTTTACGAATGTCAAAATTCGAGGTTCAAAGTTTTCTAAATCGCACCCACCCTCTACTAAAAATAATTCGAATATCCAGTTTCCCAACACCATTCAAGATAATGTGCTCTTGGGAACTGCATTAGTTAATATTGTCAATAATGGGAAATCCTTTAAAACTCGTGCAATTGTTGACCCTTATTCACGATCATCAATTGTTAGTAAGTTAGTAAGAAACTTAAAAATGCACTTGGAATTTCAACTCGTGCTTTAGAGAACACATCTAAATCGACCGCACCTATAGAAGTTTGTTCTCTCAAATTGTCTTCCCCTAAATATTAGTCTAGAATTATAGAAAAGAAGGCATTAGTCCTGTCTAAGGTTAAGGGAAAATTGTTGTCGTATTCACCAATACCTAATTTGAAAACTCGGATTCCTAACTTAGATTTAGCGGATTCTTTTGGTAACAGCCCAATAGACTTGCTACTTGGCGCTGATCTGTATCCTCAGATTCTAGAAGCGGAACCATCCAAAATTCTTTTTAGATTCGTTGCTGGCCCAAAAGTCTATTTTCGGGTATATTCTCACAGGTTCGGTTCCTCCCACCTAATCTCGCACCAAAAATTGATATCGACCAATCGTACTATAAAATTAAAATTCGTTGAAATAATCACTCGCGCTAAATATTGAAAATGTTAATTGAATCTAAATCTAATTTCGCCTAAGTACAGATCAAATCGCTATGATTTTAATTTGAAAATCCGCAACGCATTATCGCTCACCTTCGAATCTGAATTTACGTTCTTTCATATGCTCTATTTTAGCTAAAATTTAATTGTTGGAATATCAATGATTTAAACTTGCATCTGTTAATACATTGAAATGTATCAAGGTGGGCGGCAATGTATAAGTTGGCCTTCAGCTTCCCGAGTCCAGTCAATCACGGATGCTGATTGACACAACGGGCATCTGCTCGGCAAACTTCCCTCGGCGGAGACCGCTGCCACCGGGCGGTGGTTGTTGTTGGTTAGTTTACTTTAATACATACGAGACTCTGCTCTCATTGGAAATAATTGTAAATGTAATAGTAGTAATCGACAATGATCCTCGGCGATCACTGCGATCCATTGCGATTGCAAGAACCTATGCGTTCACTTGTCGTTTAGTTGTTGAAGTGTACACTTCTCGCGCTTTCGTATATTCACGGTTATACTAACCAGGCCTCTGTCGCCACCCCAAATAACAAAGGTAATTTTGTTGTGTAATAGAAAGAAGAAATACCCCAATAAAGAATGAAAAACTTAACTATGCAGGGCCATGTCGTCGTATAGACTCTTATATAACAGATACATTCGGTATTTTTAAGATTTTAACAGAATTTTTAACGGATATTATTGTTTTTGAAAATTGCCAAATTCGTTCAAAATCGTGGAGGGTATTCAAAGATGATTGACCCGGCCGAACTTTCATCTTTTCTACATGTTTTATTTATTCCTTACTAAGAATTGTAGTTTTATTCGGGAATACAAGGGACATTAAACGTATGTCTTTTGGAAGTAAATCCAATCTAAATATATATTTCTACAATGTTGTTCGTAGCCGCAATGAAAAGCTTTACATACAACTCAAGTGAATTTATATGCATTAAACTGCAAGAATTTATATATATTAAAAAAAAAATAAAGTATAAAGCTCTCTTACCTCATAAATATCTATTCCATGGTTGAGAGACCATGATGTTTGGAAATAGTCCTCGATTCTCTGCTTTAGTTCTTTTGGTATCTGAAATAATAAAAAATAGTTTTTTTAAGCATATATGTATAATAACTTTTTAAGCGTACGAGTAAAGGTAATTTTTTTATCAATCGTACATATTTTTTTTCTTAAACAAACAAACTTTTCGTACATCTAATTTTTACGCATTTGCAAATTGGCCTGCTAATTTAAAAGCTACACACTAACAGTGATCCTAAGACAAACTTCTATAATTTTCGGTTCTGTTCTAACACTTCCTACCTACAATACACTATATACCACGCAATTGCACTATATAGCACGCATCATAGCACAATTTATAAGTTCAGCTCTATTCCTTCATATATAAATTATTACTTTTCGTACATGTTAGTGTTTCTAAATTCACCTCTTTATATAAACGTCACATTGATGACTATAAAATCATATTTCTAATTCTTTTGCTATACTTTATATCAAATTCAGTACCACTTAATAAATACTTTTCGCACACATTGCAGTAGGAATTTTCCAATACGACTCTTTATCTAATCGCATCACATTTCCACTTATCCTATCCTAACTACTATTCCCATGATCTATGCTAAGCTTAGTTACCATTTAGTAATTTTTGTATACATTTAATACCATTTATCATTTTTGCAATTTTTGGTACGTCTTTCAAAATCTCAATCAAACCCACCCAATGCCAAATTTAGTAGCATTAAGTACATTTCAAACTTTTTAGTACATATTTTCAAAACCATCTTCAAATCTCAACACTACCTACTAACAGTGACCCCGATTTCAACATTTTAAATTTCCAGCACCATCCGTTCACCAAAATCTAAATTTTACCAAATTTAGTACAGTTCTTACACATTGTACATGTTTCAAAATTATAATTATAAGTACTTTGACTAACACTGCTTACTTTTATATACAAAATATTTATACCCTCAGTCATATGGCTACAGAGGGTATATATCATTTGATACGGCCAAAACGTGCCTCATCGAAATAACGGTTTTAGACCCTAGGTCTCTTTGGACCAAATCCGTTTCAGGACAATTGGAGTCGATGTCCGTCCGTCTGTCTGGCTGGTGCGCACGATAACTCTCGAAAGGAGTATCCGATTTGATCCAACGTTGGTACATCGTAATATTATTCTCAAACTTAGATCGAGTTCGGAGATGGGCAATATCGGTCCACGCCTTCCGGTACCTCACACACAAAATGTCAAAATTTTCAAAGTAGAAATCGGGCCATTCCTTCTGGTACCTCCCCCAAAAAGGGTCAACATATTGAATAATTATAACTTTTATAAAATATGATGCAAGTGTCCGATTATCTTCAAATTACACACATCACAATATTTTTGATAACCCAAGACTTGGCGTGAAAATGGAATATATCGGTCGACTCCTTCTTATACCACTCCCATAAAGGGTCAACATTTTCAATATCTATAAAGGTCATATAATGTGAAATAAACATCCGATTCAATTCAAACTTGGCATATCACAATATTTCCATCAACAGATCTATTAAAAAGATGGTAGAGATCGGACCATTTATGTTGCTACCTGCCCCACATAGGGTTCAACAACTCTTTTTAAATTTCACACATACAAACATTTTGCTAACACAAGATCTTCTGGTACCTCACTCATAATTTTCAATACTTTTATCTGCCATAACTTGCGAAACAAGTCAGCGATTCTTTACAATTTGCTATATCTAAATATATCTCTCTTTGCCAGAAACCTGAGATGAATATGGAAGTTTCCATAAATTGGATATAAATGATAGATTTTCTTGTAATATTGTCCATATCAAATTTTCATATGTTTTAGATGAAGCATGAAAATGGAATACTTCAATCTACTATATCTGGTATATCACGCACATATCATGAGAGACATATATTTAGATATAGCACGTTCTAAAGAATCGCTGAGTTGTTTCGCAATTTATGACAGATAAAAGTATTGAAAATGTTGTCCTTTTGTGGGTAAGGTAACAGATCTTGCGTTGATGGAAATATTGAGATGTACCATGTGTGGAATTGAATCGGATGTTGATGGATATTCAAAAATTTGACCCTTTGTGGGAGAGACACTTGATGGAGTGAACCAATACTATCCATTTTGGCACGAGTCCTAGAACTGACGCAAATATTAGGATTTGGAAAATTAGAGCAAAATTAGATTATTGCTTCCCTTTTTGTGCAGAAAATATATATTTTTATGCAACTTTCGACTATTTGTGTGGGAGGTACCAGAAGGAGTGGACTTAACACCAGACATTGGGTTAATATAAATATTGGGATATGCCGGGCTCTTACATCACATTTTATTACAGTTGTAATTATTCAAAATTTTGACCATTTGTGGGGGAGGTACTTGATGGAGTGGACCGATATTGTCCATTTTCACACCTGACCTAGCACTGACGCAAATATTAGGATATGCAAAGTTGGAGCAAAAACCAAATATCCTTCCTCTTTCTGTAGAAAAAAAAATATTTTTTGAAAATTTCGACCTTTTGAGGGGGAGGTACCAATAGGAGTGGACCGGTATTGTCCATCTTAACACCAGACCTTGGGTTAATATAAATATTGGGATGTTGAAATTTGAAGCCAATCGGACTCCTACATCACATTTTATGAGAGGTGTGATTATTCAAAACCTTGACTATTTTTGGGGGAGGTACAGGGTTGCCCATATTCGACGGACCCATCTGGCAACGCCATATCTTTTGACAGAGATGTCACATCGCTTAATGACATACCGCGTTTGAAGCGTCAGTCCAAGCAGATTTTTACCATGAACCAATACACGCCACGCGAGCACTCTGAAATAGTTGAAATTTACGTTCAACAGAATAAGTCAATTGTGAAAACCCAACGTGCTTTTACAACATTAAAAAATGTGAGATGTGCGCCTTCTAAGGGACCGTAAATAATAAAATAAGCAAAAAAGTTTTTACGCCACTGAAAATCCTCAGGAGATTGAAGAATTGCCTCTTCATGACGCAAAAGTCACAGTTTGGTGCGACCTAGCACTGACGCAAATATTAGGATTTGCAAAGTTGGAGCAAAATCGGATTATCCTTTCTCTTTCTGTGCAAAATATATATTTTTTGAAAATTTCGAACTTTTGTGGCGGAAGTAAAAAAAGGAGTGGACCGATTTTGCCCATCTCCGAACTCGATGTAAGTTTGACAAAAATATTATTTACGAACTTTGAGTACCCTCCACCATTTAGTACGAATTTGGCAATTTTCAAAACAAAAATATCCGTTAAAAATTCTGTTAAAATCGTAAAAATACCGAATGTAGCCGTATATTAGGGTCTATACGATGACATGGACCTGCATAGGCAATATTTGTCATGATATATTGCAATATTCAAATGCGAAACTTGAAAAAAATCTGTTTATAATATAGCTAAAATCAAAAAAAATTCGAATATAGGGAGGTACCAGATGGTTTATAAAACGTGGACCTGCACAGAAAGTTTTCTGACATAGGCTGTAGTATCCATAAGAACTTCAAATACAAAATTTAAAATAAATCTAGTAAATAATGTCGCTAAAATCATCAAAATACCAAATATCCGGGGGTACCTATATATGGGGGCTATACGAAGACGTGGACCTGCACAGACAATTTTCTGTCCTAGGCTGTAGTATTACGAACTTCAAATACCAAATTTGAAATAGTTCCGGTAAATAATGTCTCTCAAATCATCAAAAAAAAAAAAAAAAAAAAAAAAAAAACCCAATATCAGGAGGTACCGAATATCGGGGGTACCGTTATATAGGGGGCTATACGAAAGCGTGGATCGACATGGTCTATTTACGAACTTAACCTGCCTACTGGTAACCTATGCATTTATGCAAAAATTTAGCCTTCTATCTCGATTTGTTCAATAGGTAGCGTGATTAAAACAGACAGACCGACATCGCTAGATCGTCTTAGAATTATGAATATTTCGAGGAGTTACAAACGGAATGACAAAGTTAGTATATCGTCCATAGAATGGTGGAGGGCATAAACATATATTTTGCACAGAAAGAGAAGCAACAATACGATTTTGCTCAAACTTTGCAAATTCTAATATTTGCGTTATTTCTAGGTCAGGTGCAAAAATGGATAATATCCGTCCATTCCATCAAGTGCCTCCCTAACAAAGGTTAAATATTTTGAATAATTACAACTCCTGTAAAATGTGATGTAAGAATACGATTGTCTTTAAAGATATGGTGTTAAGATGGAGTACATCGCTCTATTCCTTTTGGTGTCTCCCCCACAAAAGGTCGAAATCCGATTCCAATTAGTCTTGGCGTATCTGAATATTTCTATCAACACAGGATCGGTTATAAAAACGGTAGAGATCGGACCATTCCTTCTGGTATCTCCCTCACAAAGGGTCATAGTTTTGAATAACCAAAGTGATTATGATATCCAAAATAATTATCAGGTTCTCTTTATATTTCACTCATCCCATTATTTCCACTAACAAAAGATCTGTTGTGAAGATGGTATATATCGGTGCACTCCTTTTGGTATATCCCTCACAAGGGCTCAACATTTTTATTATCCGTGAAGCTCATAGAAAGCGAAATTAACATCCGATTCCATTCAAGACTTGGTAAATCTCAATATTTCCATCAACACAAGATCTGTTAAAGAGATGGTAGAGATCGGAAAATTTCTGTAGCTACCTGCCCCACATAGGGTTCAAGATTTTGAAAAACAAAACATTCAAAGAAAGCGAAATAAGCATTCAAAACTCTTCAAATTTCACACATACAAACATTCTGCTAACACAAGATCTTCTGGTACCTCAGTCACAAAGGGTCATTTTTTCAATACTTGTATCTGTCATAACTTGCGAAACAAATCAGCGATTCTTTACAATTTGCTATATCTTAATATATTACTCTTTGCCAGAAACCTGAGATGAATATGGATTTTCCACAAATTGGATATAAATGATCGATTTTCTTGCAATTTTGCCCATATCAATATTTTTATATGT